TCATTCACCTGTGAGGCGTCATTCACCTGTGAGGCGTCATTCACCTGTGAGGCGTCATTCACCTGTGAGGCGTCATTCACCTGTGAGGCGTCATTCATCTGTGAGGCGTCATTCACCTGTGAGGCGTCATTTACTTGTGAGGCGTCATTCACCTGTGAGGCGTCATTTACCTGTGAGGCGTCATTCACCTGTGAGGCGTCATTCACCTGTGAGGCGTCATTCACCTGTATGACGTCATTCACGTGTGTGGCATCATTCACCTGTGAGGCGTCATTCACCTGTGAAGCGTCATTCACCTGTGAAGCGTTATTCACCTGTGAGGCGTCATTCACCTGTGAGGCGTCATTCACCTGTGAGGCGTCATTCACCTGTGAGGCGTCATTCACCTGTGAGGCGTCATTCACCTGTGAGGCGTCATTCACCTGTGAGGCGTCATTCACCTGTGAGGCGTCATTCATCTGTGAGGCGTCATTCACCTGTGAGGCGTCATTCATCTGTGAGGCGTCATTCACCTGTGAGGCGTCATTTACTTGTGAGGCGTCATTCACCTGTGAGGCGTCATTTACCTGTGAGGCGTCATTCACCTGTGAGGCGTCATTCACCTGTGAGGCGTCATTCACCTGTATGACGTCATTCACGTGTGTGGCATCATTCACCTGTGAGGCGTCATTCACCTGTATGACGTCATTCACGTGTGTGGCATCATTCACCTGTGAGGCGTCATTCACCTGTGAAGCGTCATTCACCTGTGAAGCGTTATTCACCTGTGAGGCGTTATTCACCTGTGAGGCGTCATTCACCTGTGAGGCGTCATTCACCTGTGAGGCTTCATTCACCTGTGAGGCGTCATTCACCTGTGAGGCGTCATTCACCTGTGAGGCGTCATTCACCTGTGAGGCGTCATTCACCTGTGAGGCGTTATTCACCTGTGAGGCGTCATTCACCTGTGAGGCGTCATTCACGTGTGAGGCGTCATTCACGTGTGAGGCGTCATTCACCTGTGAAGCGTTATTCACCTGTGAGGCGTTATTCACCTGTGAGGCGTCATTCACCTGTGAGGCGTCATTCACGTGTGAGACTTCATTCACCTGTGAGGCGTCATTCACCTGTGAGGCGTCATTCACGTGTGAGGCGTGATTCACCTGAGACGTCATTCACGTGTGAGGCGTCATTCACGTGTGAGGCGTCATTCACGTGTAAGGCGTCATTGACCTGTGTGGCGTCATTCATCTGTGAGGCGTCATTCACCTGTATGGCGTCATTCACCTGTGTGGCATCATTCACCTGTGAGGCGTCATTCACCTGTGAGGCGTCATTCACCTGTGAGGCTTCATTCACCTGTGAAGCGTCATTCACCTGTGAAGCGTCATTCACCTGTGAGGCGTCATTCACCTGTGAGGCGTCATTCACCTGTGAGGCGTCATTCACCTGTGAAGCGTCATTCACCTGTGAAGCGTCATTCACCTGTGAGGCGTCATTCACCTGTGAGGCGTCATTCACCTGTGAAGCGTTATTCATCAGTGAGGCGTCATTCACGTGTGAGGCGTCATTCACGTGTGAGGCGTCATTCACGTGTGAGGCGTCATTCACCTGTGTGGCGTCATTCAACTGAGGCGTCATTCACGTGTGAGGCGCCATTCACGTGTGAGGCGTCATTCACGTGTGAGGCGCCATTCACGTGTGAGGCGTCATTCACGTGTGAGGCGCCATTCACGTGTGAGGCGTCATTCACGTGTGAGGCGCCATTCACGTGTGAGGCTCATTCACGTGTGAGGCGCCATTCACGTGTGAGGCGCCATTCACGTGTGAGGCGCCATTCACGTGTGAGGCGCCATTCACGTGTGAGGCGTCATTCACCTGTGAGGCGTCATTCACGTGTGAGGCGTCATTCACGTGTGAGGCGTCATTCACGTGTGAGGCGTCATTCACCTGTGAGGCGTCATTCACCTGTGAGGCGTCATTCACCTGTGAGGCGCCATTCACGTGTGAGGCGTCATTCACGTGTGAGGCGTCATTCACCTGTGAGGCATCATTCACGTGTGTGGCGTCGTTCACGTGTGTGGCGTCGTTCACGTGTGTGGCGTCATTCACGTGTGTGGCGTCATTCACGTGCGTGGCGTCATTCACCTGTGAGGCGTCATTCACTTGTGTGGCGTCATTCACCTGTGTGGCGTCATTCACCTGTGAAGCGTCATTCACCTGTGTGGCGTCATTCAACTGTGAAGCGCCATTCACATGTGTGGCGTCATTCACCCGTTAAGCGTCATTCACCTGTGTGGCGTCATTCACCTGTGAGGCATCATTCACCTGTGTGGCATCATTCACCTGTGTGGCATCATTCACCTGTGTGGCATCATTCACCTGTGTGGCATCATTCACCTGTGAGGCATCATTCACCTGTGAGGCATCATTCACCTGTGTGGCATCATTCACCTGTGTGGCATCATTCACCTGTGTGGCATCATTCACCTGTGTGGCATCATTAACCTGTGTGGCATCATTCACCTGTGGGGCGTCATTCACCTGTGAGGCATCATTCACCTGTGAGGCATCATTCACCTGTGAGGCATCATTCACCTGTGTGGCATCATTCACCTGTGTGGCATCATTCACCTGTGTGGCATCATTCACCTGTGAGGCGTCATTCACCTGTGAGGCGTCATTCACCTGTGAGGCGTCATTCACCTGGGAGGCATTCACCATTGAGGCGTCATTCACCTGTGAGGCGTCATTCACCTGAGAGGCGTCATTCACCTGTGAGGCATCATTCACCTGTAAGGCGTCATTCACCTGTGAGGCATCATTCACCTGCGAGGCGCCATTCACCTGTGAGGCATCATTCACTTGGGAGGCACCATTCACCTGTAAGGCGTCATTCACCTGGGAGGCATCATTCACCTGCGAGGCGCCATTCACCTGTGAGGCGTCATTTTCCCTGTTTAAAGCCTTTGATGGCTATCTTGCTAAACCCCTGATCTCCACAGCTGATTCTTCATTACGTTAAATATAATGTAAATGAACGATTCCAGCTTGTACTTCAATCCTGTCTATCTCCCTTCTTGAATATTGAAGCAGTAAATAAATTCGTTTGGATAATTCATCTCAAGACGTGGTGGAGGCTTGATCCTCCGTCTGGTGAACGCCAGACAGGACGCCGTTCTTATTCGTACTTACCTAGATGAATATTGGAGCAGCATTTGCTATTTACCGTCTTCCAGAATGTGCTCTGTCTATTGATTTCATATCGATTTTTGCAAACAGTTCACATAACACCTGTGAACAGAGGATCGACCCTCTTCTAACTACTTTAACACTTTATATCATAACTAACAATAATTATAATAATAACAACCAACGGTACTACTTATAATAAAATCCTCACTGCACCCAAGGAGACACCTTGTCAGGTTTAGTTTATCTTTGTGCCCGATTAACTTCATTATTGGCCTGTCCATTCCCTCCAAGTCTCTTAACTCCATCCCTCCCACGTTTCCTCGCTCAAAATTTTTCCTGCTAACGCTTGTTTGGTTCCTCGTTGATCTCGCTTCCATTACTTGTCATTGCTCCTTCCTCAAGTACTATTGTTTGGTTCCTTCCTATCATCTGTCTGATGTGATTGTGTGTATGTTTTAGTTCTGACTTTGCTCTTTCCCCTTTATCTGGCTTATGTGTGTCTTCCTCAATCTTCACTCCTGGCCATTCGTCACTGGTCTCTTCATGTCGCATCTCAGTATTTCCTCTGTTTTCCGCATTTTTTCATTATCTAGTACTATTTTGCCTTTGCTTCTCTGTAATTGTGGTTGAACCGTAGTCTGTATTTTTTCACTTATGTGAGTTTTTGGTATGAGTTACTTGCCAACCTGCTGGCACTCTCCTGTTAGGCACTCTGTTGCACCTGTTGTCTTTTCTTCCATTTTCATTTTAAGGATATCTATCATCCGAGAATAGTTGCCTCTCCTGTAATCTGGTTTCTCTCTTTCTTGCTTCCATCTCACTTTCAACATTCATTTCCAGCAGGCAGACAAAACATATGACATAGGACTGCTCAAAGTTTAGATTCGTATTCTCCGTCTCCTATATGTATCCTGCCTCACATGTGAAGTTAAATTAATTATTTGTAACTACAGAAGCAGAGATGTAGTTGGTGTGTCCTATTTTCATATTTTTTTCAACATTTATTTAAAAAAATCCAATAGCTGTAGCACTTATTACTTTCTCTTTTAAATTATGCCATTTGTCAACCACTTCGGTTTCACTTTATCGCATATTTTCAACTTTCGGCTCTTGTTCTTGCTGCAGGCATTACAAAATCGTTCATATCTATTAATTCATGCCCTTTTATGTAGTAATCATATCTCCTCCTCCTCTCCCCATGTCAACCAACGTAGGCATCTCCAGTTTTTTCATGTCTTCAACATAACTCCTATTGTTTTAAATTCTGTGGCCAATTTATGTTTCTGTTTTGAACCTTTTAAAATAAAAAAAAATCTTGATTAAGTTTAACCTGGATATCATCACGAGTCCGGCGGTTTGTGGTGTGTGCGTGCTTGTGTGATATTACACGTCTAAGGTCAACGTCAACCACTGACATACACCGCTGAGGCCAGCACTCTTCACCGTGGATAGGTGTATTATTAAGCCGACACTGGACTGGTGTCGGCGACCTCGGGCGGTAGTATTACCTCTATAATACACTGCAGGTACACACTCCACTCCTGCCTTTATGTATTACCTAAAATACACTGCAGGTACACTTTCCACCCCTACATTAGTGCATTACCTCAAAAATACACTGCAGGTACACTTTCCACCCCTACATTAGTGCATTACCTCAAAAATACACTGCAGGTACACTGTCCACTGCCGCGTTAGTTAGTGTACTATATTACAATGGTTCCTGAAGGTACTCTCATAGATCCTTACTATTGAATTGTTACTAAATATTATTTATTACTGGTATTAATTAGCATTGATACTTTCAACAATTATAATTCACTTACCACATATTCTGAAGGAGAGTTATAGAGGTTTCCTGGCGGGTTAAAGAGGATTGGACAAATAACTCCATTACATATATCTCACTGAAATGCAGTTAGCAGCAGCAAGGAAATTATTCTGCAGCCGTGAGCACTTCCGACGGCCTGGGTAATCACAGTCACACTAAAGTAATCGTGTTCTCTTATGTATATATATTTTTTCTTTGTGGAAAATATAAACAAACTTCGAGAGGATTGCTTGCTAAGTGCATTACATTAATTTCACAAGAGTATAACGAGAGATGTAAACACCGGGTCTAGTACTCCAGCGGTGCGTGGATGACTTCGACACGCAAGAAGGAATAACGCAGAAATAGTGAAGAACTGACTTGGTAGAGGGGAAAGACAAGCAGAGTCAGGTGTGCAACACTCCCCCAACCAGCGCCTGCACTGAACTGACTCTGGTACCTCCACTCCACCCGACTCTCCTCCTCCATCCCCCTTCACGTCCTACTCTTTCCCACTCGTCCTAATCCTCTTCGTTTTGCGTCCTACTTCTCCTTCAGTCCTCCACATCTTCCCTCGTCCTCCTTCAATCCTCCACCTCTCCCTTCGTTCTCCCTCAACCCTCCTCTTCCCTCTCCCTCAACCCTCCTCTTCCCTCGTTCTCCCTCAATCCTCCACGTCTTCCCTCGTTCTCCCTCAGTCCTACACCTCTTCCCTCGTTCTCCCTTAATCCTACACCTCTTCTCGTTCTCCCTCAATCCTCCAGCTCTTCCCTCTTTCTCCCTCAATCTTCCAGCTCTTCCCTTGTTCTCCTCAATCCTCCAGCTCTTCCCTCGTTTCTCCCTCAATCCTCCAGCTCTTCCCTTGTTCTCCCTCAATCCTCCAGCTCTTCCCTCTTTCTCCCTCATCCTCCAGCTCTTCCCTCGTTCTCCCTCAATCCTCCAGCTCTTCCCTCGTTCTCCCTCAATCCTCCAGCTCTTCCCTTGTTCTCCCTCAATCCTCCAGCTCTTCCCTCGTTCTCCCTCAATCCTCCAGCTCTTCCCTTGTTCTCTCCCTCAATCCTCCAGCTCGTCCCTCTTCTCCCTCAATCCTCCAGCTCTTCCCTCGTTCTCCCTCAATCCTCCATCTCTTCCCTCGTTCTCCTCAATCCTCCATCTCTTCCCTCGTCCTCCCTCAATCCTCCATCTCTTCCCTCGTCCCCCTCAATCCTCCATCTCTTCCCTCGTTCTCCCTCAATCATCCCTCGTTCTCCCTCAATCCTCCATCTCTTCCCTCGTTCTCCCTCAATCCTCCATCTCTTCCCTCGTCTCCCTCAATCCTCCATCTCTTCCCTCGTTCTCCCTCAATCCTCCATCTCTCCCTCGTTCTCCCTCAATCCTCCATCTCTTCCCTCGTTCTCCCTCAATCCTCCATCTCTTCCCTCGTTCTCCCTCAATCCTCCATCTCTTCCCTCGTTCTCCCTCAATCCTCCATCTCTTCCCTCGTTCTCCCTCAATCCTCCAGCTTTTCCCTCGTTCTCCCTCAATCATCCCTCGTTCCTCCCTCAATCCTCCAGCTCTTCCCTCGTTCTCCCTCAGTCCTCCACCTCTTCCCTCGTTCTCCCTCAACACCTCCATCTCTTCCCTATCCTTACCTAATCCACTTCCCCCTCCTGTGCCTCCTCCTCCTGTGCCTCCTCCTCCTGTGCCTCCTCCTCCTCCTCCTCTCCCCTCCTCCTCTCCCCCTCCAAACCACCATCTCATCCACCATCTTCTCCCCCCTCCCCCCTTCCCACCCTGAAGCGCCTGTTTTCTATTCCTCCTATTTATCATAATTTCTTTATCATTATCTACACCCTAATTTTCCCGTGATTTGCGGACACGACTCGACAATTTTTTAGCACTTAAAGTCTCGTTTCCTGTTTCTTATCAGCGTCTCCTTGTTTATTATATATATTTATCTTATTCAAGAATTTATTCAAAACAATAACTCCATTCCAGGAATAAGAACATTAAACGACATTTCGGTCTGTCTCGGACCCCTGTCAAACCACATTATCAATCCGTTTATCAAGTTGTGACTTGACGATGGTTCATATCAGACCGAAACGTTGTCCAAGGGTTTTTTTCTTATCAAAATTTAGCGTAGCTGTGACGTGTTCCAACCACGTTAGTTTGGCTTCTATATTAAAAAATAGAAATACAGAGTAAAAACGAAATACAGAATGATGGAAAGTGAAGCAGCCTAAGAAATAAAGATATACAGTATCAACATTAACCGCATCAGCAACTGCTACTGATGATACCTTCAAGGAGATAGAGAGGAGAGTACCGTGATGATTATGCTGATGCTGCAGCAGCTGTTACTTCTGGTACCTTCTAGGAGGGAGAGGGGAGAGTGCTGTGATTATAATGCTGATGGTGCAGCAGCAGCTGCTACTTTTGGTACCTTTTAGGACGAAGAGGGGAGAGTGCTGTGATGATAATACTGATGCTGCAGCAGTAGCTCCTACTTCTGGTACCTTCAACTAGGAGAGGGGAGAGTGCTGTGATGATAGTGAACGTCTCTTAACCCTGGCTAATGGATTTATCCACACATTGCAAACGAAACTGATTACCTTCCATTCACCATGCTCCAAGCTTGGTGCTTCCATGTATACTGTATATACACTATGTGTTTCACTCGTAGGAGGCCCAAAGTCGGTACTCCCGTAGTTTCAACCGTCTTGTTCGTATATTATGTCTGTAGTAAACAGTCGTTTACATAATATACAAACCAGACGGTTGAAACTACGAAAGTAGCAACTCGGAGCCTACGAGTGAAACACCCTATAGTATATTATTATTTCTCTAAATATTGTTACTAGTACTGCATCAGTTGCTTCTACTGTAACTACTACTGCTGCTGTTATTGTAGATGCTACTACTGCTGTGGTCACTACAGTTACTCATGCTGTTATTATTGTTGCTTCTGTTCTGATATTGCTGCTGCTGCTGAAACTGTTATTACCGTTGCAGCTGCTACTGTGCACCTATTCCTGGTTTAGCTCATAATGTTGCTGCTGCTGTTACTGATGCTTTTGTTGCTATAGCTGCTACTGCTACGACTGTTCTGCTGTTTGCTGCTACTGCTGCTATTCCTATTTTTGCTACTACTGCTGCTTGCTATTCCTTTGGCTGATTCTTATTCTAAAGCTGTTAATTTAACTTCTACGATTGCTGATGAAGTTGCAGGTGGTGGTGTTACTGATACTTATCCAGCTGCTGTTACAGTTAGTGCTGATGTTGTTGTTGCAGTTGCTGCTCTTATTATTATTGCTACTACTACTAGTGCTGATGCTGTTGCAGTTGCTGCTATTACTGCTACTACTAATACTGTTACTACTAGTGTTATTACTACTATTGCTACTACTACTACTACTACTCTTACTACTACTACTGTTACTACTAATACTACTACTGTTACTACTAATACTACTACTGTTACTACTAATACTACTACTGTTACTACTACTGTTGCTACTAATACTACTACTGTTGCTACTACTACTACTACTGTTACTACTAGTTTCTAGTTACTATTACTGTTACTACTACTACTGTTGTACTACTACTAAATACTGCTATTACTATTACTGTTGCTATTACCACTACTGCTATTACTATTATAACTACTACTACTACTACTAATGTTTATTACTATTGCTACTTACACTATTGATCTAGCGTCTTGTCTACTATTCTGATGTTGCTAATATTCTTAATTAACACTGTTACTGTTGCTACCACTGCTGTTGCTATTGCTACTAATATTATTGCTGCTCCTGATATTATTATTACATTGCCAATATTTAAAGAAATTAATATCCCTTTCATCTCGTTACTCCAGTGTACAAAACTAACTACATCAAGGGTCGGCAACCTACGGCCCGTGGGCCGGATTCGGCCCGTAAGCCGAAATACTCCGGCCCGCAAAACTACGCTCAGATGTGGCGGGAAGACACTCTATTTTTTTTTTTTTTGTATCGGCGGTGTTACAAGTCCGTATATAAGTTTACGTATGTGTTTAAAAATTTAAAAACCGACAGACACCAACACATTTGTGACTGTGACATGTGATTTGAAAGCCGAGTTTTCTTCCCGTGTCGCTGACATTCGCTCACACACGAGTGATTTCAGGCTGTTTGCTACTCCAGTTGACGTGGACATAGACATCGCACCAGAAAATGTTCAAATGGAATTTACTGAGATGCAGTACAGAGATGTATTAAGATCACTGTGACTCAAGAAATCGTAATGACACGATTGCAACCAATCTAGTGGCTAACGCGACGGGCTGGAGTTTTGAGACTCTATGACCGCGGGTTCAATCCCGGCCGGGGGTATGGTTTGTTTGCAATCGTGTCATTACGATTTCTTGAGTCATGCTGACGGCAGTGAAGGGACTTGAGCTAGAGTTCGTCACGGCCACGCTAGCTGGAGATACGTCTGTAAAACCTTGCATTTGTGGTCACAGTGGTGCCTGTGCTATCCTTCCTATGGTGTAGAAATATACCTAGTTGGATGAATCTTATTGTGGCTAGCTGGTCTAGTGGCTAACGCGACGGGCTGGAGTTTTGAGACTCTATGACCGCGGGTTCAATCCCGGCCGGGGGTATGGTATGTATTAAGATCAAAATTTAATACAACGTCCGTATCTCTACTAGAGTTCTACCAGAAATGTCTTCTTGAAACTGGTATTTATACCAACTTGGTAGATCACGAGAGAAAAATAAGGTCAGTGTTGGGCAGTATTGCATGGGGAACAAGAGTACATAAAGTACAGCCATAACATGGAGGACAAGAGTACATAAACAACAGCCATTACATGGAGGACAAGAGTACATAAGCTCCAGTTATGACATGCAGGACAAGAGTACATAAGCTCCAGCCATGACCAACGTTCCTCCCTATTACAAAGGAGCTAGGCACCTTTATAATGCAATAAATTAATACATCTCAATATCTAATTCTAAATTATAGTATCTTTACAAAGGCAAGGTGTCTCAAACACGTTATAAAATATATCCAGACAATAATACAGTGAAATACAAATTGTACTCCATGTATTAACACTGGAGAAAAACGGTAGACGCCGCATCAACGAAGTGTTCCCTTAGTTAAGTGCAGCAGTGTAACTCGAAAGTCTGTGGAGAATAAAAAGGCACAATAACGTGACTGGAATAATACACAAATAACCCTCAGTGAGGGTTACCTGTGTATCATAAGTCTATGGTTTGTAAGAGAACAAAAAAAATCGTTCAGTTTTCGTTATCGTGGCAGAAACTTTGTCTCACGCGGCCAGACTTGAGAGATTTTTAACAGGATAGGTGTTGCTTTTGTTGTTTATGTCGTTATTTTATTTTCTGTTGCTGATGTTTTATTATTTTCTTGTTTTATGTCGTTTTGTTATAGTTTTATGTCCTTGTTTTGTCATTTTATTTTTTGTGCTTGTTTTGTGTGTGAGGTTTTGTGATGGCTGTTTTGCGTTTGTTGCTGTTAATTTAATTTGTGTTGTAGTTTTTGCCGCTTTTGTG